GATACTAATTAATTAGTTATATTTTACAGCAAATTTATTTAAATATAAATAATTAATTGATTCACATGTCTTCTAAATAACTTAGAGTTTTAGCTATTTTTTTTCTCAACAATATAGATTTTTAGCATGGATTTTGAACAAGAATCTATACAGAGCGCCACAAGAATGTAAAATCATCAGATAAGAATTTACAAGCCACGACTTTTCATTTTAAATTCAATATTTTACATTCATTATAGTAGATTATTAGTGGAGTAAACAGTAGATTGTACCCTAGAAATGGATACATGCTAATACACTAGTAGTCTAGTACTAATAATTTACTGGTTATTTCAAAGTTAAGTTCTCCAAATCTCCCAATAGTTTGCATCACTAGTTTATCCTTGTATATTCTGCATTTTATGAATATTCTATTATGGCATTAATATCTTTTCATCTTACACGTGACTTTCCTAATCCTTTTTACTTGAATAAGTTATAAATTATAATGGAGAATCAAGGAAACAAGAGAGGAAAAACTATGTTTTCATTCTTTAAACCAAACGAACAAATATCAACCAATAAAGGACATTCTCCTTCCAATGTTGATGTGTCAAATCATAGTGAACAACCCCTTTTCAAATCTCAAAGAGTTGAAATTGATGTTAATACTTTTGAATGAGATCCTAGGTTACGAATTCCAGTGTGGAGACATCCTATTAATCAACAAGATGAAATTAGAAGAGCTTATATCAAAATGGGTCCATATCAACCTAAGTTAGCAGAATATCCAATGAATGAATCAGGGAGACAGTATTATCGATTTCAGTACATTTGGTTTGATTAATTTTCTTGGCTAGAGTACTCTCCATTAAAGGATGCAGTATTTTGTTTTCCATGCTTTATTTTTAAAAACAAAGTGCCTCATCATCTCACATTCACCATCGAAGGCTTTAGAAGTTGGAAGAGGATTAATGATGGGGTTAGATGTGCACTTTTAATACATGTGGAAGTCTCACTTCACTACATAATAATGTTGTGAAATATGTTGAAGATTTAATGAAAGTAAGTAGACATATTGATAAAGTGTTGAATGCACAAACTGTTGAAAAAGTTCAGAAAAATCAATTAAGACTTATGACAACAATTGAAAGTGTTCGATGGCTTAGCTTACAAGCATGTGCATTTAGAGGTCATGATGGATCTTCAGCTTCTAATAATCGAGGTAATTTTTTTGGAGATAATAAGATTTATAGGGAGACTGAATGTTGACATTGATGATGTTGTCTTAGAAAAAACTTCGAAAAATGCAAAGCATACCTCGTCGACTATTCAAAAAGAGATTTTGCATATTCTTGCGAACAAAGTGAGGAAAAAGATTTGTGAAGAAGTTAGAGATGCAAAGTTTTGTATTTTGGTTAACGAAGCCAAAAATGCATCAAATAAAGAACAAATGGCTATTGTTTTGAGATTTGTTGACATTCAGGGTTTTGTACGAGAGCCTTTTTTTTAGTATTACACATGTTTAAGATACTACTTCTTCAACACTTAAAAAAGAATTTTGTGATGTGCTCACTTGATATAACTTGCATATTTTCAATATGCGAGATCAAGGGTATGATGGTGCTAGCAATATGCGTAGCGCATGGAATGGACTACAAGCTCTATTTCTCAGAGATTGTCCTTAATGCATATTTAGTACATTGTTTTGTCACAGACTACAACTGGCATTAGTTGCAGCAGCTGGAAATGGGATTTCTATTTGGTTATTTTTCTCAAAATTGACAACCATTATCAACCTTATTTGTGCTTCTCTCAAATGTCATACCAAGTTACATTATACTCAGGCTATAGAAATTGCACATATGGTACCTACTAGAGAATGTGAGACTAGTAGAGGGGCTAATCAAATTGGTAATTTACATCGAAGTGGAACTACTTGCTAGAGCTTTTATTTTGATTCTATTTGCAACTTAAAGATATATATAGTGCAACTATTACTGTGCTTGAAAGTATGGTTCAAGAAGAATCTTTTAATTTTATACGTGGAGAAGCTGGTGGTTGTTTGATTGTGACGAAATCTTTTGAATTTATATTCATCTTATATTTGATGCATAAAATAATGGGAATTACTAATTTACTTTGTCGAGCTTTGTAGCAAAAATCTCTTGACATCTTAAATATAATGGATCTTGTATCAACTACTAAAGCATTGCTTCAAACTTTGAGAGATGCCGGATTTGATCTTCTCCTTACAAATGTGTAATTTGTTTGCATAAAATATGAGATTGACATATCACATATGAATGCTTCATATAAAAAGGCTATAGGTCGTTCATGTCAACAACAAGGTTCAGTGACAGTTTACCAGCATTATCATTATGATATATTTAACTCAACAATAAATTCTAGATTTAGTGATGAGATAGTGGAACTCCTTGTACTTAGATCTACTTTAGAACCTAAAGACAACTTTGAATCATTTAAAGTTGATGTTATTTACAAGCTCGTTGAGAAATTTTATCTTGAAGATTTCAATGAACAAGAGATGTATTATTTGAGATCTCAACTAGAGCATTATCAGATTGATGTGATTCATCATGAGACCTTTCAAAATATATCTACCATTTCTGAATTATGTCAAGGATTAGCTGAAATAAATAAGTCGCAGCATTATCATTTGATTGACAGGTTGATTCGTCTTGTTTTGACTTTGCATGTTTCCACTACCACTATAGAGTGGGCATTTTCAGCTATAAAACATGTTAAAATTGTGCTTCGCAATAAAATGGAAGAGGAGTTCTTAACAGATTCTATGATGATTTACATTGAACGAGAGCTTGTTGAAGATATTGATTCAGATTCGATCATAAATGAATTCTATTCTACAAAACATCGAAGGGTGCAACCTTGATAATATAATTTATTTTTATTTTTATTTTGAATTTTATATACTTTAATTTTATTTTTTATATATTTTATGTTATGTATTTGAATTAAGACTTTATTGTTAACTTGACAAATTTATATATTCGAGTAAATGATTGATCTTAAAAAATAATTTATGTGTATTTATATCATAGCCCAGGATAAGAAAAATTACTGGCTCCGCCCTTGTGTGTGTGTGTGTATATATATATATAAACTAAAAGGAAAAAAAATAAAAAATTGCCTGTATTTTTTCTTGTCTCTTTCTTATCTCTCTTTTACACGGTCACCAACCTATTGGATTAGTTGGTGATAATTGTAATTATCTAACCCTTTATCTTTCTCCTTGAATTAACAACCAAAAACCTTTAACCGAGACCCAAGCCATCATCTCCCTTACAAGTAAAAAAAACAAAAGCCACCATTGCCAATTTAGATTTTTAGGTCCCAATTCAATGGTCAATGTCTACATCTAACACTTGCAATGCCTCTATCCCATATAACACCAAAAATTATTATAGGCACAAGTCAAGCCAACAAAAAATGTGAGACAAATGGTAAGAATCCTAAGCAAAATGTAAATCATTAGGTGCTTCTAGTGATAATAATACATAGACACCCATAATTAAAATATAAATTTACCACCTAACACTAATAAACTTAAAGCATGGTTTCAAAAACTTGATAAAAAGAGCATGAGAATAAGTAGTATATAAAGCCCCAACCCAACCCTAGTAGCAAAAAAGAAAACAATAATTGACCGGACAAGAACAATGATGCTCACCACCATGATTGTTAAAAGTAATTGAAAACTAAGATTGAATCTATTTTCTTGATATTGTTCACACTCTATAAATGAATTAAAACAAATCAACATATCATCTATTAATATTATTACAAACTAATCTAAGTAAGGTTGAAAGACCTAATTCATCATATTCATAAACATAATTGGTGCTTTTGTCAATCCAAATGGCATTTCTAGAAACTTGTAATATTTGTAACGAGTCTTAAATGCGATCATTGATATATCTTGCTCTTTAATCCTTAACTAATAGTACCATAATCTTAGGTCTGTGTTTAAAAT